GCTGTACTTGCCCAGGTAGCTGTTCAACTCGTCCGTGCCCAGCAACCTGCATGCATTAGGATGATGATAGGTGAGGCAAACAACGACTACAGTGAGGGTTGGTATCAGACGAGGGTCCATCCAGCATGATGCTGTACTTGCCCAGATAGCTGTTCAACTCGTCCGTGCCCAGCACCTGCATGTAGGGATTGATGATAGGTGAGGCAAACAACGACTACAGTGAGGGGTGGTAAGACGAAGGTCCATCCAGCATGATGCTGTACTTGCCCAGATAGCTGTTCAACTCGTCTGTGCCCAGCACCTGCATGTAGGATGATGATAGGTGAGGCAAACAGACTACAGTGAGGGGTGGTAAAAGACGAGGGTCCATCCAGCATGATGCTGTACTTGCCCAGGTAGCTGTTCAGCTCGTCCGTTCGCAGGACCTGAGAGTGGGATGATGAGACTGGCGACGTGGAACATCGGGATCAGGAAAGGGGTTTTAGGGAGCGAAGCATATGGAAGGGATTGCGGAGCACTGATTTCCTGCCAAGCCAGCATGTCACGGAGACTCTGAAAGAAACAGATTCCTCACAAGATCGATGATGCTCACAGCCCACAGCTTGGACGGTGGAGATCTGAATAGGGTTGAGCAAAAAAACGAACACCTGTTCGGTTCGCCTCGAACGTGTTCGAGGCGACCCGAACAGGTTTTTTTTTTTGGCTTAAAATGTTCGCCGAACAGTGTTCGATGTTCGCCCGAACACGTTCGTGTTCGGGCCCGCTGCTGCAATTTGCCCGCGACGAACACGAACAGTGTTCGAGGTTCGCCCGAACACGCCTTCACAGGCGAACGGCAAACACCATTTTTTGCTCAAAGTGTTCGCCGAACCGAACAGAGTTCGGTTCGGCAAACGAAGGTGTTCGTGTAGGGGCGAACACGAAACACGTTCGTGTTCGCCACTTGCTCATCCCTAGATCTGAAAAGCCAAAAGTGATCATCCCGGTGATGGTCATGATCGGGGGTAAACCAGCCAGGAGGAACAGGTCGGACTGCCAGGCCTTGCCCCACTGTGCACGTGCGACAGGTTTGCGTGACTCAGTCAGTCAGTCTCAGTCAGTCCGTCAGTCGCCCCTGCTTTCTGAGGCGCCAAGAGCTTCGCACCTTGGCGATTTTGACAAGCTGGTCGTAGTTGTCGTGGCCGTAGAAGAAAGGCTCCTTGCGGAATATCTGCGCGCACGCACAGGGGAGAGTGAATGGAGAGACGGGCGAGATTCACAGAAATGCGGGAAAGGGAGGGTGAGAGGAGGTGATGTAATGGTCAGCTGTGGCTGTAGAAGAAGGGCTCCTTATGGAATATCTGAGGGCACACACAGGGCACGAGGCACAGGGCACGAGGCACAGGGCACGAGGCACAGGGCATGGGGCTGGGGTATGGGGAGAGAAGGGACGGGCAGGGGCAGAGTGAAGTGAACGGAAAGAGGGGGTGGGGGTGGGGTGTCGGAGATGATGGTGATGGACAATAGTGGGCATCAACAGTGGTTGTTGCGGGGTATGTGAGCAGCACATGTATGGGTCAAGGAAAGGACAAGCATCTTTGACAGTGGGAAATGAGAGGAGCGGGGGGGATAGGAGGGGGAGAAGGTAGAAGAGTAATGCTGGTTTATATAGACCCACTCGGACAACAGCCACAGTCCGCTCTAAATATACTCTGTACATGCATCCACGGCTCATCATGACCCGTACACCACACCCTCCATGTTCCACACCCCCACCATGTCCCTCCCCCACACCATACAAACCATGCACCCACACCCACCCACCATGCCAGCGAACATGCAGCCAAGGCTCCACATGTCCAGCAAGTAATCGCAGTCCTGTAGGTCCACTCCAGTGCTTACGTGCATGCACATCATGCTCCATGCTCTCACCACGCCCCCCATGGCTCACCATGCCAGCGAACATGCAGCCAAGGCTCCACATGTCCAGCGAGTAATCATAGTCCTGTACGTCTGTTGTGTACACGCATGCACCTCATGATCCGTGCTCACGGCTCAGTGATCTCACCAAGCCCCCAACCCGAGTCTCACCATGCCAGCGAACATGCAGCCAAGGCTCCACATGTCCAGCGAGTAGTCATAATCCTGCAGGTCCACTAGCAGCTCGGGACCCTTGAAGTACCTGCGGGATAGGGAGGGGAGGGGAGCACGAAGAGACGCAAACACCTTCATGATGCTGACTCACTCACCACCGTGCACCACCTTCATGATGCGTCACGTTCCTTCCTGCACGCCATACAGCTCCGCGCACCTGGACGCCACGCGCACGCTGTACTGCTTGCTGGGATGGTACAGACAGTACAAACAACAACTCTGTCAGCCCTCAGTTACACTGCACTGCACCCACCCAGGCATACCAAGATGTGCCACATGCCATGCCTGCATACCGTACAGTACACGATACCTGGACGGACGCCACGCGAACGTTGTACTCCTTGTTGGGGTGGTAGAATTCCGCCAGCCCCCAGTCAATGAGTCTAGGCATTCCGGGTGCATCGCATGCGTGCACTGCACTGCACGCGGTACAGCGTGCGTGCGTACCGTGTCGCAGAACTGACTGACCTCGACGCCACCCGGACATTGTATTCCTTGTTGGGGTGGTGAAACTCCGCCAGCCCCCAGTCGATGAGGCAAGGCATTCCAGGGTGCATCACAAGCATGCGCGCGCTGCACGCGGTACAGCGTGCGTGCGTACCGTGTCGCAACAGAACTGACTGACCTCGACGCCATCTGAACATTGTACTCCTTGTTGGGGTGGTGGAACTCCACCAGCCCTCAGTCAATGAGGCGCGGCTTCGTCTGCTCATGCCTTCACGCACTAAGAACAGAACAGTCACTGCCACACTGCCGTAGCACAACCACTGACTGACCTGGACGCAACGCGAACGTTGTATTCCTTGTTGGGGTGGTGGAACTCGGCGAGCCCCCAGTCAATGAGGCTGCCTAGGCATTCCAAGATGCATCACATGCGTGCACACAGTACACCGTACCTAGATGCCACCCGAACGTTGTACTCCTTGTTGGGGTGGTAGAACTCCGCCAGGCCCCAGTCGATGAGGCGCAGCTTCCTCTGCTCGTGGTCGATCATCACGTTGTGCGGCTTCACGTCCCGGTGCATGATGCCCTGTGAATGGCAGAAGTCCAACGCCTGGCAGTGGGGTATGTGGAGTTGTGATGCCAGGGAGCATTGGGAGTGGAGGTGTATGCATGAGGCGCAGCTTCCTCTGCTCGTGGTCGATCATCACACTATGTGGCTTCACGTCCCGATGCATGATGCCCTGTGAATGGCAGAAGTCCAACGCCTGGTGGGGCGCACGCATGGGAAGGGAGGAGAAGGGAACTTGAGGGTTGAAGGGAGAAGCTTCACATCCTCATGAATGATTAGCTTGAGTGGCAGAAGTGATAAGCCTGGCGGGGCAGGATGGGAAGGGAAGGGAACACAGGGAATGAAGCGCACGGTGAGGCACAGACACAAGCACATGGTCACACGCCCTTCCACTGCCCCTTCCACTGCCCTTCCACTGCCCCTTCCACTGCCCCTTCCACTGCCCCTCCAGTGCCCCTTCCAGTGCCCCTTCCAGTGCCCTTCCAGTGCCCTTCCAGTGCCCCTCCAGTGCCCCTTCCAGTGCCCTTCCAGTGCCCCTCCAGTGCCCCTTCCAGTGCCCCTTCCAGTGCCCTTCCAGTGCCCCTCCAGTGCCCCTTCCAGTGTCCTTCCAGTGCCCCTCCAGTGCCCCTTCCAGTGCCCTTCCAGTGCCCCTCCAGTGCCCCTCCAGTGCCCCTCCAGTCACGCCTACAGCCCCACAAGCGCACCTTGAGCAGCTCGTAGATGTAGTAGCGGATGTCGTAATCAGAGAGCGTGGGGTAGAGCACTTTGACTCAAGTGCTGCGAACAGAGACACAGGCATACAAAAACATGGTCACATCACACGACGTGATCACATAGCATGGTCACACACCCATTCAGCACACCTTGAGCAGCTCGTAGATGTAGTAGCGGATGTCGTAATCAGAGAGCGTGGGGTAGAGCACTTTGAAGTCGGTGTTGTTCACAAACTCAAAGATGAGCGACGGCGTCTTGCTCTGCGGGTCGCGCACAATGTCCAGCAGGCGGATGATGTTGGGGCCGCCGCACAGGTTCTGCAGAATCTTAATTTCTCGCTTGATCTGGTGGCGGTTGCATACGGGGAGGAATGGAGGATGGGATGTGGGATGAGGGAGGGCGGGTGATGTCCAGCAGGCGGATGATGTTGGGGCCGCCGCACAGGTTCTGCAGAATTTTCATTTCTCTCTTGATCTGGTGGCGGTTGGAGTGAGAAGGGATACGGGGAGAGGGCTCAAAGATGAGCGACGGCGTCTTGCTTTGTGAATCGCTCGCGCACGATGTCCAGCAGGCGGATGATGTTGGGGCCGCCGCACAGGTTCTGCAGGATCTTGATTTCCCGCTTGATCTGATGGTGAGGGAAGGGGAAGAGGGGCGAATGAAACAGGTTATGCGGGGGGTGGGACGAGGAGGAAGGGTCGCGCACGATGTCCAGCAGGGGGAGATGTTGGGCCCACCCCACCCCACCCCACCACCACCACCACACAGGTTCTGCAACCGTTTTGGTCTGGTGTGTGTTGCACATGGGAAAGGATGGGGGATGAGGGGATCGGGATGGGAGTGGGAGTATGGGGGATGGGGGATGGGGATGGGGGATGGGGATGGGGATGGGGGATGGGCGAGGGGGGCAGGTTATGTCCAGCAGGCGGATGATGTTGGCCCCCCTGCACAGGTTCTACAGAATCTTAATCTCCCGCTTGATCTAATGTGTGTGTGGGTGTTGCACTGGAGGAGGGATGGGGGACGCGGGATGGCCCTGTTGACCGCGTTGACCCCCCTTGACCCCGTCAGTCCACTCTCACCTTTTTCTTCTTGACGGGTTTGAGGATCTTGATTATGCACTTCCCGCTGTTGACCGCGTTGACCTTGTTAACCGCGTTGACCGCGTTGACCGCCGCGTTGACCCATCAGTCAACTTACCTTCTTCTTCTTGACGGGTTTGAGGATCTTGATGATGCACTTCTCGCTGTTGACCGCGTTGACCCCCTCAAACACCTCGCTATACTTGCCCCGCCCCACCTTGCGCACCACCTCGTAGTCGTCCTGGTCGCTGCGAGATTGGAGGGGGGGGGGGGGGGGGGTTTCAGGATTGTTTGGCCTCATTGACCGCGTTGACCGCGTTGACCCCCTCAAACACCTCGCTGTAGTTTCCCCGCCCACCTTGCGCACCACCTCGTAGTCGTCCTGGTCTCTGCTAGGGGGAGAAGAAAAGAAGGGCGGAAGAAGTGGGGGATGGGGGGTGAAGGGAATGGGGGGGAAGTGGGGAGGGGGTGGGGAATGGGGAGGGACCGGAAACGTAAGAGGAGAACCATGCGCCGCCCCATCTTGCGCACCACCTCGTAGTCGCTCTGGTCGCGGGGAAAAGGGAAGAAGGAAGGGGCGGTAGTGCGGGGCGGGGGGGGTGAGGGAGAGGAGATGAATGGAGATGAAAAGTCCTGGCCCCTGCGTGCTCGGTTAGAAGAGGGAGAAATAGGGGATTGACTTGTGGGACGCGTGTGTATCTAAGGACAATGAGACGAACTCCATAGTTCAGGTGAAAAAAAAAGGTCCACGGACGGAAATGGCTGATGCGTTTTATGCGAATTAGAAGTTTGAGAGCGTGGTAAACAATGACATTGGACTTCAAAACGCATCACTAACGGCGGACATAGATTGGAGCGTGAGAAGCGACACGACGGGGATACGTCCCGCAATAATTTGGCGGGAAATTAGACTCTCATCGCGCAACCGTTGACGTACCCCCACTGCACGGTGAGCGCCTCGTAGTCAAACAAACCCCTTTAAAAGCGATATAAAAAAGTCGGCACCCAAAATGGGGTTAGATACTTGACATACCCCCACTGCACGGTGAGCGCCTCGTAGTCCCAATACTCCTTGGGCCGCTGCACGTTCACGTCCGCGTATATCCGCGCTTGCGACATATCGCGCGTCTCGTTGCAATGACTTTTGCTCTGTCAATTTAAGCCTAAACGAGTCCAGCGAATATGCAGTCAATGCACTCAACGAAAACAGTCGGTCGTGAGACGGTCAGCCAACGTGACACAGACGGTCAAAGCGCGACGTTAAGGAAAACGATGTAGTCAGAAACGACCGTCGAATGCTTGAAACTTGGTCGTAACCCTAAAACGTGAACTGGGAGTGAACTAGCAACTGGCTTACCGGTTTTGGCGTAAATCAGCAGGGAACAATCGCGGCTAGGTTGGAGGCCCGTCCGCGTTGCAGGCTGTTTGGCAAATATCTTCGCATGTGCGCAACAACCTTCTTGTGGCCAAGTTTAGAAAAATATGGCCAATGAGGAGGCTATAAGAGCGTTGTGCATGCTCCAGCATTCTGCAAGAAGCACTGTACTCCATACCGCAGCAGCCAATGTGCTGGCATTTTTTCCGCGTCACTGTTTACTTTTCCCACGCTTTGACTGACGCGTGGGATGTCGTCGCCCATTTTCAACTCCCTGTCGGCGAGGGTGAACACTCGAACCTCAGCGTACGGCGTGGAACTTCCGAACCTCGACCACTAACCTACCAGGGCCAGCGAAAACCAGAACCAGACGGAAATCCAGACCTGAAGCCCAGGTTCCCACTTTTGACTCGAGTCTCCCATTTTCCTCGTAAACAAAGCTGGTATTTGACGCTGGTATAAGTAGTCAGCGACAATCCTCGCATTTCACACCAGGACCTCACAACTCTCTGCTTCCTCAACTAGACTCTAAACCAGCAGCAGGAAACCAGATTTAAATCGTTTTGATCATCTGTAAGCACGACACCAGTCATGGCTGCAGTCAGAGCGCTCGTCCTCGCGTGCGTGCTCCTCCTCGTGTCGACGTCCGCCTTGGCGCAGCGTGGTCCGCCTGGCGGAGGTCCTCCCGGCGGTCAGCGACCGGGGGGCGCAAGCGGAGGACCTGGCGGTAACGGCGGCCCCGGCAGACCCGGCGGTCGCGACGGTCCCGGCGGGCCTGGCGGACCGCACGGGCCTCCGCTGAACCTGACGGCCGTCGGGAATCTGACGGCCGGTGTTGGCGCGCGGCTCGCCAACTGCACCGTGGATCAGAAGACCCTCAACGGCAGCTTCCACCTCGCCGTCTTCAAGAATTCCACCGGGAACTACAACCTTCTCGTCGAGGCGATGCTGGTGGACGCGGCGGGCGGTCCGCCCAACTCGCTGGCGATCGTGAAGGGCGCCGTGTGCGACGCCGCCGCGACGGACGTGCTCGCGCTGCCACTCGCCGCGGCGGACTGGCAGCAGCGCACGGGGTGGTGGCTGCTGCACGCGGAGGCGCGCCTCGATGCGTTCCTCGAGAACGCGGACGCCGCCACCCTCGACGCGCTGCTCGCCGTGCTCCCCACCGCCTCGCCTCCGCCCACCAGCGGCAGCGGGCGCAGCGGCGGAGGCAGCGCGGGGGGCGCACGGAACGGGCAGGGCGGGAGGCGCATGGGGCGTGAGCTGCTGATGGGCGCATTCGGCCGCGCTGCCAGGCAGGGGGGACAGAACCAGGGGGGGCAGAAGCAGGGGGGGCAGCAGCAGGGGGGGCAGCAGCAGGGGGGAGCGCAGCAGGCGCCTGCAGTGAGTGGGTATGCTGTGCTGGCGGGCAGCAGCGCAGCAGGTGTGACGTGGGGCGGGCAGCTCATGGGCGCCAAGATGCCCGCTGCTGCTGCTTGATGCTCCTCTGCCGTGCTGCGGGGTTTGGGGGTTTTGAACCCAGCCTTGCAGGCTGCAGTTGTGGTTGTGATGGGCTCGAGGGCTTCTTAGCCATGTGTGTCTGGATAGGTTTGGTGTCTGGTTCGTGCTCCAGTAGCTCTAATAGGTCAAAGCATCAAGGGCAGGAATGCTGGCAAGGCATCAGGGAACACCAACTGACTTGCCAGTCTTCCTACCCCTGATAGTTTCTGTGAGGCTATTCGCTGTAGTTGGTGTTGTGATTGGTTTCAACAAGTCAGTGTTTGTTCTCTGTTCCCTTATGGTGTCAGACATGTTCTGATAGTAACTGTTTTCTCAAGCTGCGAAAAGCAATTGTGAGTGTTGAATAACAAAATAATACCCCGAAATCTCAAGCTGAGTACTGTTTTTAGGCAATATGTATCTGCTGCTGGTGTACCGCTTTAGCCTCAGTGGCTGGACGCTCTTAGGGTGCGTCAGATCCGTTGGCCGGATCAATCCGGCCGGCCGGATCTAGCGAAGGTTACACATTCACGACATTTGTAAGTTGTTTCGTCAATTTCGCACAATCCGGCCACTTGCTAAAATTTTGATGGCCGCTTTGATAGCTGGTTTAGCGGTCGACAACTTTCCGACGTGCAAACGAATCACGAGTCGACCACATTGTCGACTCGTCAGCGATACAGTACCTGTGCGACTTGGCCAACATACCCAACTGACTCGACGTGTCACAAGGACGACTCGCACGGCACGTTCAGCCCCGTTGAACATGACCACTTTCCGGGGTCACACTTGTATAGAGCGAAACGTGCAATTTTACGCAAGACCAATCTGCGCCTCGCCACCTCGTCTTGACTGCGGAACATTGTTCTACTCCGTCACGGGGTCACACATGACGATCATTGCCAAACTCACCCAAGCAAAACTAGATTATGGCTTACAGGGATAGCAACGACATGAACACACAGTCTAGCGACAATGGCGGCACCCCAGGCACCCGCCCAGATACACAACAGTCTACCAACGCTGCTCAAGCTCCACCCATCAGAACTGTCAGGGAATCTTCCCGTGAGCACATTAACCCGTGGGATCGTAATCCAGACTGGTGGATTAACAACCTACCCCGCCCAGACTCGCCTTACGGTATCAACGATGACTACGGGGTAGGCGAGGAGGCCCCCGAAATATGCTCCGCCAATGACGACGAGGAGCTTGACCTAAACATAGGACGGACTAACACGGAGTCAGCGACCGCGACTATATCTACCGCTACCCGGACCACTTTGCCTCGATGGACCAAGGAAGAGGATTTCCTTCTGATGCAGGAGCGTCACGACATGCACGATGACTGGAATAACATGCGCGGAATGCAAGGCCAGAGCCAGCACGCCAAGCTGCATCGCAACCTGCTCGCCCGTAATCCGAGGTGGCGCCACTCGGTTTCCGCTCTCCGACCGAAGCTCCGCCGCATGGAAGCCACATGGCTTCGATGGAGCAAGTTCTTAGAGCGCTCTGGCAAGGGTCGTGCGGATGGATGTCCGGCGTGGTATGATCTGGCCGACGCGATATTCCGACCGCGCGAATCTGTGAATCCAGAGACAACTGTGGAAAGCACCCCAACTGCAACGATGGCCAACACCGTGCCATCTGCGGCGAATGGCGGGCACACAACATCCGGGTGCAACGATGCGCCCGACTCTATCGCCGATAGCGTGGTGCCACCGTCGACCGGTCCAGGTTATGCCGTGCAACATGGCGGAACCCCGACCGTAGTTGCACCAGTCGCATCCGGGTCTACTGTACGCTCTGGTAAGCATTCTGAGTTTTAAATGGTTGTGCTTTGATATTACAAGTTACCCTGTTCAACTCCAGTACAACATGACTTTCCTCTCAACTCCATTACATTAATTCCCTCTCAACTCCGTCACTTTCCCTTGTTTCACCTGTGCCTGCAACAGTGCAGGCTACTGAACCAGCGGTCGCCCCGCCGGTCGCCAATCCCCTCGTCACTTCGCCTTCACGGTCGACGGGCCCTGAACCAGCCCGCCCCGCGGCGTCAACGCCGACTCCGCCTCGTCAGCAAGCCTTGCCACGCGCGCGCGCAGGCGCTCTATCCCTCGGTGCTCAGCCGGGTGGATCTCTCCGCAGTGGACGCACCACGGCGAGGGCGCGTGTGACGTCTGCGGTTGGGATGTTGGGGGGTGAACACGATGTTGAGTACAGTGGGCGACCGGGACGACGTAAGGGCAAGGAGAAGATGATGTACGATATGTGTGGGTTCATGACGAAGGAGTTAACGAGCGCTATCCAAACGACAATGACCCAGTTTTTTGAACGCACCCGAGAAGAGGACGAGAGAGCCCGGGATGCCCGAGACGCCAAGAGGCATAAAGGAAAGCAGAAAAGCGATTCCGCCTCAAAGTCGGAGTGAATCCGGCGATTTCGATGCCATGATGTGCAAGGCTGGCGGCCGGTCCTTGAAGCCACCATCTATTTCTCGGGTACGGCATCTCCATTCGGTATCTTGTGCCAAGCACCATTTCTATGTTATGCAGGGTTACCACAGCTGCCACCGTGGCGGGCACATGGCGACGGTGGCATTCCATTCTGGCGTCTAGGATACGCCATTTTGTCTTTAAGCGCCCGTTGACTTGCTCAACTATCATGCGCGCCCGCGACTGCTGCTTGTTCCACACGGCTTGCGCGTCCGGCAGTAGCTGGCCTGGGGTGGCTCGGAAAGGCACGTAGATGTAGTTTTTAAGGCCGTATGCCGCATCGCTGACGATGCAGTAGTTGCCAATCCCTCCGCATTCAATCATTTGTTTAGCTTTCGAATTATTGAAAACATTCGAATCATTGCACGAACCCGGCCAGCCTGCTAACATGCTCCAAACAAGGCCGTTGGCGTCGACGAGTAGTTGTAGGATAATGCTGAAGAAGCCTTTACGGTTCTTAAAATCCTCCGCATGTGGTCCGGAACCGCGGGTGTGTATGTATGTGCCGTCCATAGCACCCACTATCCCTGGGATCCCACTGTCCCATTTAAAGTCTGCTTCCGAGGCAGCAAGTTCGTCTGTATCAGACCATAAAATCCATTCGGCCATGAGGACGTCTTCATTGAATCGGACCCAGGCCTTCACAATCGTGTGGGCATGCGCGTGTGAGAAGCCAAAAAGCAATCCCAGCTGACGAAATGTCATCCCGCTTCCGAAGCGAAGGAGCACAAGAGCTACTTGGAGAGCCACCTTGCATGCATGTTTGCCAGTGCTGATGAGGTGGTCAGACCACACGCGGCAGAGGTAACCGAATATGTCACGATCAACTCGCAGTGTTTCGTATAGGTGGTCTGGTGACATGTGCAAGAAGCGCTCCATCCAACGAGCTCGTTGAATACTTCGGTCATTTCGCCAGAACACTTGGTAATCGCTCTCGTCGGCAAAGTCAAGGAGCAAGGGCACCATGACACCGACTGCAGCGACCAAGGGGATGAGCACAACGTGCGTGAGGCCGATTGCTAAACGTCGTGCCCATCTGGGTGTGAAAGGATCCGCCATGTTGGATAATGGATAGAGTGTAGGGACGTTCTCGGTTTTGTATACTCTCGTAACACTCAGTTCGGGTAGACGACACGATCTCTCCGAGCCGGGTTGTAAATGGAGCCGCACCTCACATCTTGACTCTCTGTTCGTGGTGCGCACAATAGCGGTTCTGTCACTTCAGTAACAATACGTGCGATACCGTCGCACAATCCGGCCAACTTTACGACCTGCAAATCTGACTCTTGTGCAATCCGGCCTGTAAATCGGCCACCAAATCTGTCAGATTTCAACACCTTGTAAATGTGGCTGGATGGTGGTCGGTTTAGCATTCGACCATTCAGTCGACTTTGGCGAAAATGTGAGTCGACCAAAAGGGCGACAAATTTGCAGCCAAACTTGCAGCCAAATCACTTTGTAGCGGATCTGACGCACCCTTAGGTCGTGTCGCGTTTCAAGCCTGGAAGGTACCAACTTCGAGAAACTACCTTCGGGAAGCTCTGATCTCAGTCTGAGGGCGTATTCCAAAGCACGGACACCATCCGAAGTTGGGCCACGCGGTCCGCGATGTTGGAAATTCGAATTTCAATGTTGCGCCACGCGGTTCGGCATCAAGACACTTTGGAGCTGACGGCCACGTAACATGCGACCGTCTTGCACGTCTTCATGCGACAAGGGGTTTCATGCCATGTTGGTGTATGATTGGGACATTGAACCTAGAAGGCTGAGTACGTGACCAGTTACCGTCACGAAACTTTACGCATTCTGACCCGCGCGCTAGTCGGTTGTACAAACTCCAGATCCTCACGACGTGACCAAACGATTTCGCGGCACAAGTTTCACAATTGCCCGCGAAGTCAGAACTGGACGTTTGGCAGGCTACACTGCGACGGGTTCTGGCAGATTCTATTGGGCGCGAAGCAAACCAAACCAGCTCTGCCTCATACGACGCAGACGACCGTTCCAGCCAACCCTGCGACCCCAAAAGTCAAGAGTGGGGGCCTGCCCCACACAGACACCATCCCGAGCCCCAAGAAGTTCGGATGGGGCCACTTCGGATGGTGTCCGTTCTTTGGAATACGATCTGAGTCGTTTTTTCGCACCCGAGCTTCCCGATCTCGTCTCACTTGCTGGCTTTTTCAGCCCTCGTTCAGAAGGCACGCAACACTTACAAAGGCCCTAGTTCTTAGGCCGTCAGCAGCGAACCGCCCGAAGCAGGTACATCAAATCCGACAGTAGGGGTCCATAAAACGATTCCAGCAATGGCGATTATAACTTTGTAGGTACCGCCAGATTCGTCGTGTGCACCATCCCGCCACGGTCGTTCATCTGATCAACGTAGGTGTGGCATCTCGCGAGAGACCTGTCGTAGAGTAGATGACGCAGCAGATGGCTTCAGTGTGATTCAAGCGGGAAGCGCGAATGATGCGGGAGGGGGAGCGGTAATTGGCAAAGAGATGGGGGGTG